CGCTTTAATAATTTATGAATTTTATACTTGTTGTTTTAGGACTGTAACTGACCAGTCTCTTTAGCATCACCTTGGCACCACTGCCTACCTTGATTAATAAGTTCTTTGATAATCCGTTTAACTGACTTTAGTATACTTCACAGATGGTATCTATCTAGTTATAGCTTAGGTCTCTATTACTATGAACACTAGTTGAAAAAAACCTAGCACAACTTTGGAGAGAATGGGTGCCCCATTGTCAAGTGGGTAATAGTCATCAGTAATCGTAACTTTGAGCATTTTGTGAAAACTCACCCTGCTTGACAAACTGCAGGATGCCGCTTTTTTCGTGTAAACGTTATTTTGTACACATTCTTAATAATATCATCAATTAGTTAGTTAGTTACAAAGTAATACCAGTTGTAAAACGATTGGAAATCGGCGAATCATTGAGCGATCTCCACAAATCATCCTTTTCAATAGCCATCTTATAGTCAATAGTGATTAGATTCAATAAGAAACCTCATACTCCTAATGACAACCACTAACCGGTTGCGTTCAATCATGTTGCAGTTTGGTTGGTATCGGCAGTGTATTTAATAAATGGTCACTCAAATGACACGTAGTAAAAAGTTGAAAATATCTGTTGATGAATCCTCATTTTCGAGAACAAAGTTTTTGGGCTCGTTAATGAGATCTGAAGGTTATCGAATAAATTCTGTGTAGAGTTTTAGATACTAACTACTTCAGTGTTCCTGTTCGGTTTGAATCAGAGCCACTATTCTGTATACAATGAGTTGATTACTGGGCAGTGACTGAATGATGAGAACATCTTTGAGGGTCATTTACTAAATTACAAGTTTCATGAAGCCAAACTTAATTGCAGTCAGTCAGTCAGTCAGTCAGTCAGTTACAACGTACTAATTCGAAAATGTCACCTGTAAGAATGTTGGTTTTTTATTGGTTCTCATTGAAATGTTAGGATAATTTCAGCAATGAGCTCTGTACTTCAGGTCAATATTTTGGAAAAATAATGAGTTTTTCTGTGTCGTGAAAATACTTTTTAAGCTTCAAGATTGGAAGACCTAAAATTTAAATCCTCCTGTTAAACAGTTGATCTTAAGTATAGCTTATATCACGTGTTCAGTCTTAACAGTGAGGTTGATATCCCGATGTCTTAAGCTATGGATCATCAGGCTTTTGGTTAAAAGCTCAAACTTTGCCTACTGCATTTTATGCTATCGAACAGTTGTATCTTTATTTCCTTCACCCACCTAAACATTCTTACTTCGTTGTGCTAATTAGGGAAGCAGCTTAACTTTTTCTGAATGTGCATCAATAGACTTAGGTAAATACCACTTCACCACATAAATGAATGAACTTATGTTTGGGATGGGATACTTCCCCGGTTTCCCGAATCGAAACTGATGGTTCCCGTATGGGATCACTTACTGAGTTTTTGACATACTGGTCTGACTCACCTAGCGGTGGAGCGACGTTTAAAGATGCACCCGCATTCACTTTTCTTCTTCTTCTCATTTTCGTAAACGACGCTTGTGCCACGAGAAGACAATGAGTAGCACTTCCTGGTAGTAGCTATACACTGATGGCCATATGAGATCATTTGGCGAAGGAGAGTGGGTATTTGCAGGCGAAGCGTGGCGCCGCACCAGTCCACTTCACAAGATCAAAGAATTTTCATCAAGTATACAAAAATGTTTGGTCAATATTTAGTTATCCAAGCAATCAATCAGGATACCTTCCGACCATGAGATCATAGTTCAATTGTGTTCATATTTCTTACTTCAGTTTTGTTCAGGTTTTTGTGTTGAAACTTAAACATCTCAGTTGTAGTAGTAGTAATAGTAGTAGTGTAGTGATAGAAAACACAGGTGAGAGCAACCGAATTGTATTTATCGCAAATTACAGAGTTAATTGGTAAAATAGGAAAACCATATGGTAAATCGTTAATTTGCAAAATATCAATTCATCATATCGAACTGGACTGTTCCTGTTGCAAAACATCAATCCTTTGTCTGACATTTCACCACTATTCATGCGTTTCATACAAATTCCATTGTGTTCCCACTCTTCCTTTCTTGATCTTCCCCTATCTTCTGCTGCCAGACATTACGTTTACACTCGCGTCATATACTACTTATAAGTAGCGCGCACCACGGTAGTAGTAGTAGTAGTAGTAGTCCTACCCTTATGATTGTTTACCTTATAATTTTTCCAGTTTATTATTTAAAGTAAAAAAAAGAAAAGTCGTGTCATTATTAATAGAGTAAAAACCAGTTTAAAATGTTTATAAGGGTAGTGTAGTGTGACAATAAAAATGTGCATTGTTTTTTTTTCAAGATTTTTTTCAAACAGTGCACTTTTATTTCCAAAAAATAGTTCTCGCATAGTTTCTATGCATATATATACCAGAAAATTTTGTTGTTCTATCAAATTCTATAAGTAAAGAAACACACACACAATTCAACTTATTCAAATGATTGCTTTACTCCTAAAAACTCAATAAGGAAAGAAAGGCTTACTTGTTACGAAGCTTAACTTTTAATCTTTGTGTTAAAGACTTGAAACCGATTTCTTCATCCATTTTACTACTTAGGTAGTAGTAGTAGTCTAATGCGGTTTGTCACACACATAAACTTGACTTAACATTAAATACAAAAAGCTTATGCTTAATAAACAAATTTTAAATTCATTTGATGGTTTTTTTCTGTCGGTAAATTTTTCAAGCGACTCAAAAGAGACCATCTATTTTACATTTGCGCTACCATCACCTGCCTCAACACGTGATGTTTTTTTTGTCGTAGGGGTAGGCTAGAAAAAGGTTCAATGTGAGTTATTATTAACGTAGGGCGTTGGCTCAAATTATTCTGCTTCATCAACACGACGAGACACCCCCCAGAAAGCTGAGGATGGACAAACTAAGATGTGTGGCATTAAGTTGTGAAGTGATTGACAGTTAGTCCAAAGCGTTTTGGTGGGTGACGACTGTCAGTGATTGGAGACTTCGAGTGACGTCGTTTAGAATTTTTTATATTAGTGCATATGTATCCACCATTTATTCTTGTTTAGATCTGGAGTTTCAAAATTATCTTATGCTATATATTCCGCTAACTGATTCTACCTTCTCGGGTTGAACTGTTCATCCCTAATATTTTCAGCCACTACTGATGCTGTTATTACTTATACTTCTAGCTTAGAAATATCATTTTCCTGTACTGATGTGATACAGCAACTTGATCTCAGTCAGTCAGATGCAACGTAGAACTTCGTACGTAATTACATCAGTTCATGTCGCCATACCACATCAGCACAGAGAAGTAATTGTCAATTCAAATCCAATAGTATTAGAGGTAGTAAGGGAATTAGAAGTAATCGGAGAGGTTAGGATTGGAGGATACTATTCAAAAAGTATGATTAAATGAGAAAAGTTTAGAAAGTCAAAACTAGAGTTGTTGAAGAATCCAGAAGATTAGGATTTGAGCGAACACAAAGCATTCATGCACCGGCACCATTGCCAACGATTTTGAGCCATGTCATTCAAGGTCTCTAACCATCGATTATTATCATCTCCCGGACCCCAACCAGGTAGTCGACAATTACCGACATGGCTCAGTCTACTTGTCAGTAACTTCTTGGATTTGTGCCATGTTTTGGTTTGGCCGCCCCTAGCTTTCTTCCAACCTACTCCTACACCACAAAATAAAGCTCTTCAAGGCATTCGGTGGTTAGGCATACGCAACACATGTCCCAACCACCTCAACTGATGAAGTTTCACCGCTTCATCTATTGATCTGCTTGATCTGAAGTGTCAGGTTTTACGTTGCGTCTGACTAACATTAAACTGTAGGTAATTTATATGATAGGGTCGTGGAGATTGTTGAGTTTCATTGAAATCATGGAGCAATCAATGTTTATGACTATTTCATTACATCATTAAATCAAATACAAATGTAATCACTGTATACAATCATAGCGATCATTCATCGCATCGTGTATTTGCTAAAGATATAGGCAAAAGATCTTGTAATCCAGTTAATTTTAGTGAACAGGTAGTCAGATATATATGTATACATTCTGGTAACGGTAAAACACATCCACGACCCTGCAAACTGGAATCGAACCTAGGACTTTCACTGTTGCTCACGAACGCTTAACCACTAGACTAGGTCATTGTAACTCAATTATCGACAAAGAGCAACATTATGAATAAGAACATTTTCAAGATTCGATTGGTTTCAGAATACCATGATGTAGAATGCTTAAAAAGTGTTTAAGCTTGTATTGTTTGTTGTTAATGAAAATTACCTGGAATTTTTTATATGCTTTGTTTACTCTAAGGATCTCCTATCTCATGAAGTTCGATTGTATTTGCTCTTTCAAACCATTAATTACTCTCTAATTTCCATTATTATTTATTCAGCTTTGATCCACAGTAAATCTGATGATTTTTTCTGTGAAAATTTACTGACAATGAGCCGAAAATAAATGGTTGTTGTTGTTGTTGTTTCATTATCTCAATGGTCGGTTCGTTAGCACTATCAGATTTAATTTCTGTTTAGCGGCATTGAAATCATCCAATGGGGTGATATTATTCATGAACAACAACACCACATGCTCTCATTCTTATGGATTGCAAATCGTACTATTTTATGAGACACATCAATTTATTGCTTTCAAAATGAGCATTTTCGCATAAAATGTTTTTTTTTTTGTTTTTAACTGATTGTTATTTTCATAGCAAAGCAATGGAACCGACAACTACTTCATCCTCGTTTAACAATACACCCTCATCATCATCATCTCAACCAACAGTGATGAATATCACTAGTGTTGCCGGTTTCAATGGTGTTAGTAGTAGTAGTAGTAGTAATGCGTGTCATCGTCGTTTAAGTATATCTCCATCTCGTAATCCTGCTGATGATACATCTAGTCTAAATGAAACAATCAATATGAATTTTAGTAGTAGTAGTAGTAGTAGTTCCAGTATTGGTTCACTAAGTAATAATAATAATAATAATAATAATCAATCTTATGTTAAAATAACACCGAAAAGTCAAATGGAGAATGTGACTACTACAAACAACATTATTGATAATAATAGCAATAACAATAATAATGGGTGTGATAAAATTATACAAAGAAAATATACAAAACGTTCATCAAAACTACGTCATTCTCAGTCATCTTCAACTTTATATTCAAATACAATAAATGATGATTCAGTTGTTAATGATAATTTACCATGGAATTCTTCGAGTAATCAATCAATGCAACCTACTGGTATGAATTCATCATCTAAGCAATTGGATGTATCATTTGTTATGAATAATGTTAAACGCGGTGTAAGTTATCTATATATACTGGATTGTATTGATATTTTTTTCTAGTTATGATTTGAATTGATTGTACACAATTTTATCGTATTAAGTTATTTTTGTATTTCCGTTTAATTTAGTTGCTCTTTCTTTGTATCCTACTGTTGAGTTGATACAGATCTTTTAACGTTAAGGCACCGGTTGGGTGATCGATAGGTCGATTGTAAAGAGTAACAGTGATTAAAAAACAAAACTAATGCGGTAATTGGTTGAACTGTGTTCATCAAGTCATGATTTCTTATCGACTACATATATTTCCTGCTTATATTAGATATGAACTAGAATGTAACTTGATTCTAGAGCCTCTCACCGACTGCCGCGACGAGCTATGTTTTGTGGTGTAGGAGTAGAGTGGAAGAAAGCTAGAGGCGACCAGACCAAAACATGGCAGGAATCCATGAAGTCACTGACAAGTCGACTGAGTCATGTTGGTAGATGTAGGCAACTTGGTTGGGGTCCGCGAGACGATAGTCACCGATGGTTAGAGACCTTGAACGACATGGCTCAAAATCGTTTGCAATGGCGCAGGTGCATCCACTCTTTGTGTTCTGAAATTCTAAGCTTTTGCATTCCTCATAATCTCTACCTTTCTCCTTCTAAATTTATCTTACTGAATTATACTTCTCGAATCATATCTTCGCTCCCTAATCTTCTCCATTACTGCTAATCCTTCTGTTATTGCTATCACTGTTTGATTTGAACTGACAGTTGCGTCTCTGTGCTGATGAGGCATGGCAACCTGAACTGATGTACTTATGTACAAAGTTCTGTGTTGTATCTGTCTCACCTTCTTTAACTACCGTATGTTAAGCAAAATGCATTACGATGTTGATTCATTTAAGAAAGTTGTCGGGATAAGACTGAATGGATAAAGTCTGACCAGCAACAAAGACTAAACAATATCATATTCGTTACCATAGGGTTGGTAAGTGTACTTGAAGTTTATAATAAGTGTAGCTTATAAGTAACTTTGTACGTTGGGATCAGTAGAGTTTTCAGTGATCTGAGTGCTTGGAGTGTGAAATCTACCAAAAAACCACATATATATTAGTCACTATGTTATCTTCATTTTGTAAATTTGAATTTCCATTTTCTTCAGCAACCAACATTTGATCTTTACCACAGTCAACTAAACTTTGCTCTCATTAGGGTTCGATGAAATTATTCGAGAAATATAATCCAGTGATATAAGTTTAAAAAGAGAAAGATATCATGAAGAAATCAAAAGATTCGAATTTTGGAGGAGACAAAGAATCTATGCATCTGTGTCATTGCAAATGATTTTTAGCCATGTCATTCAAAGTCACAAACCACCGGTTGCGATTGTCCCGCGGACCCCAACCTGGTAGTATAGATCTATTACAATGGCTCAGTCCGATTATCAATGACTTTGTGCATTTGTTCCATGTTTTAGTTTGGCTGCCCACAGCTTCATTCTGGCCTACCCTTACACTAGAGATTGCATCGCCCGTCGAAGTAGTCGGTGGTTGGGTATGCGTAACACATGTACCATCCTTACCTAGTACCCTTTTTAGAATCCCAGCATTACTTACACGGCACCATAAGATCTACCCAGATGTCTCTGTTTTGCTTAATCTTCCTACTTTCGCTCAAATCACCAGCCACTATTACTACATCAGAGTGCTTAGCTTTTTGAATGTTGAAAAGCTTTCTGTAAAATTTATCTTTCGCCTCATCTGAACTATTATCAGTAACCAAGTTCGTTTCGTATGCTGTTATTGGTGTGAGGATTTATGTTCCATTCCGGCTGCCCATACCGTAGAACGGTGTTTCTTGAGGAACCTTAGAAGGATGCTGGGTCAATATTGGTCTTTGTGACCCGGGAGCGTTACTGCATAGCCCAAGAATAAACTGCTTGCGTTCGATCGTGCACGGCTTTTTTATGGGAATTTTCTCAAGTGTTAACTTCACTCTTCAAATGACCTTACCGCCAGAGACGGAAACTCGGGGGGTTGATGTAAGGTGTAAAATCTTTAGGGTTTACCTTTTCTAGTCCCTTCCATTGTGAGAAGACAGCATCGCTGCAGTTGCTGATTTTCTTAGGGAAACACCTTGCTGCTGTCACACTACTCTGAAGCCAGCATTCCGCCTTCACTATCAGACTTTAAGTTGTTGTTTTTGGTCTTACCGTTCTCCACTCGACTTCCATGGCATATTAGGGCCTAAATGAACAGGTATTCGAGTCAATATAGCTCGGTTGAGTTATCACCACATCATGGCGGCAGCTATGGTCGGGATTATTATTATTATTATTATTATTATTATTATTATCATTATTATTATTATTATTATTATTATTTGTGGTAAGTTATTCCACACAGAGCGTCTCAGAAATTTCGGAGAAAGTTGATTATTTTGTGCAATATCATCATATATATCAGGTAGAGTGACATACAGTAGCTTCACAAACAAGCCATCTTTTGTGGCCTTGGTGTTTGACACAAATTCAGTAAGCGTGGTTGATTTTTACTGCTGACCTGGGTCATATATAGCGTACAAGAAATGTCCGTCTATCAATCAAATGGCTTACACTGCTACGCAGATGCATTCATTCTTTACCTTTCTCTTAATCTTAAGTTTCAATATTCCTTCATGCATACCTTTTCGCTTACTATTTTCAAACCATATTCTCGGTGCCAAGTTTTTCTTATTATCATTATGGTCATATTATTTTAGTCGCTTTTACTATGTGTTTCGTTGATGTCATCTTATTATGCTATTGTGGTATAATAACTTGATAAAGACTGACTCATTAGAACTATCCACACCATAGAAGAATGCAAAACCATTAGTTAGTTATAAATGTTTTTTTTTCATCATTTCAAGAAATATTGCACTATAGTCCATCGAATAATAGCCTATGTCAAAACATATAACTTCATATTTATTTATGATTTTACAATTTTCATCATTTGTAACAAACTATGCAAATGTTATTGCTTGTAATTCTAGTCAACTGTACTTTCGTATTATTATGGTGGCGTGAAGAAGGTGTGTATATAATTCCAGTTCGAATCTCGATTAGTTTCAATTGTTTTTCATTGAAGTCATACAAATAGCGCTCAAGTTATTTTTGTACTAGGAGGTGGATTTATATTGTTGATTACTAATCGGTTCAAATTTTTTTTTGATTTTTTGTTGTTGGTTAAACTAATCATAGTGTTTCAATTCAAATCATAATAATTGGTCATAATTATGTTACACATTTGAAATCATCAATTAATCATTGTCAGACAGACCATCGTTAGAAACCTGGAAGCACTGAAAGACGGCCGTTTCGTCCTGGTATGGGACACATCGTCAGTGCGCATCCACGACTTTCTAACGGTTGTCTAACATTGATCGATTCATGATTTCAAATGTGTAACTTAACAATCTTCACAACCCAGTAATTATGTTACTATACGTCGATTACACTTTAGAAATTTCCAGTTTATCTGTTCACAGATTGTTTATATTCCAGCATTCTGACTATCGGCCAATTTACAAAACACCATATATATTTCAGTTGTTATTATAGCTTGTCAATTGTCATTTAAATCAATGTAAGGTATTTTTAAGAAAAAAATATTTAGATCTCCTATTGATATTTTAATGTGTGACATGAAAGTACATATTTAAAGACTAAAGTATTTTATTTTTACTTTTTAAAAGAAATTAATTCATTCCGATGAATAATAATAATAGTAGTAGTAGTAGTACTAGTAGTAGTAGTAGTGGTAGTAGTAGCAGTTATAGTAGCACTAGTCAGTAGTAGTGTGAGTAGTAGTGGTGTTAGTAGCGGTATTGTGGGTAGTAGTAGTAGTGATGGTAGTAGTGGTGTGAGTAGTATTAGTAGTAATAGTAGTACTAGTAGTAGTGTAGTGAACGAGAACACAGGTGGGGCAACCGAACTGTATTTAACGAAAATTACAGAGTTAATTGGTAAAATAGGAAAACCATATCGTAAATCGTTAATTTGCAAAATATCAATTCATCATATTGAACTGGACTGTTCCTGTTGCAAAACATCAATCCATTGTCACTGTTCGTGCGTTTCATACAAATTCCATTGTTTTCTAACTCTTCCTTTCTTGATCTTCCCCCATCTTCTGCTGCCAGACATTACGTTGACACTCACGTCATATACTACTTATAAGTAGCTCACACAGTAGTAGTGTGAGTAGCAGTAGTATTAGTAGTAGTGGTAGTAGTAGTAATAGTAATAGTAGTGATAGTAGTAGCAGTAGTAGTAATAATAGTATTAAAAACTGCATAGCTAAATGTGTCAGATTATATTTTGGTATCGATCACATTTTTTGACTTTTTATTTAGTGATTTATTTCTGTTTTTTTATTTATTTGACAGACAATGACATCAGCCCTTAGTTGTACAAATCTTACTACAGGTTCCACTTTTATTGATGATCAGTCGGGTAAAAATAATGAGTAAGCATGTGGTCAATAATTGCAACTTTTTCGCGTCATTTTTTTTTTGAAATTATGATTCGAAATGTAAATCACACTGGATGCCAACTTGATAGTTTGATAATTAGGTAATGATCATGTGACGTAAAGGTCCTGGGTCCATTTTTTGGTGGTGTTGTGTATATGCACTGCCAAGGAATCGCATACGTCGCCAAAATCGCTGTTCAATGGTTTCTGGTCTTCGATGTGAAGCTACGTGATTTAAATAGATTATGATAGAGAAACTGTAATTCGATTCTTGAAAGGCGACTAAATAAATAATAACCAAAGTGCTCAAAATTGTAATGGTGATTTAGAAACCTGGAAGCACTGGACGGTCGTTTCGTCATGGTATGGAACTCATCAGCAGTGTGCATCCATGATTCCCGCTAACACCGTCGGGTGCCGGCTCAGTCGTAAATTCAAGGTTATAACAAATTGTTTCTGTACACACAAGGGAGTTTTAATTTACGAATAGCCACGGCCTCCATAAACCTCAAAATTCGTCTTCCAACATTTCTATTCAATGTTTTGAAGGCTGTCTTGATATCAATCTTATGCCCTGTCTGATTTATGTGTTTTGCGATCGATAAACATAGTTTTTTGTTTTCCACGTTTATCGGTTCATCTGACCTTAACTGATTTTGAAGTCATATAGGTACATGTTCCATAACCCTTGATTGCAAAGTCCAATCACTCCTCCCTATGTATGTGTGTCCACACAATCTGCAAAACTTTATGATGAACACTAAATAAATAATATTATTTCTATCAATTTCTATATGTGATATTTGCATTACGGGGTTGTGAAGATTGTTAAGTTACACATTTTTAAAACCATCAATCGATCAATTCTAGACCACCATTGGAAACCTGGAGGCACTGGATGGCCGTTTCGTCCTGGTATGGGACTCATCAGTGGCAGTGCGCATCCACGACTCCTGCACCCCACAGGATCCGAACCCAGGACCTTCGGTATTGTGCGCGAACGCCTAACCTCTGGACTACTGTGCCGGTATCTAACAGTGTTAATGTCTAATGTGATCAATTCACGGAGTTGCGCAACCTCATTCCCACAGTCTTCGGTAGTTACTGTGTACACCCGAACAGGTTGAACTTCACTGGTCACGACTTCCCACTAGAACTCGGAGAAGGTCCCTCGCAAAGCTAATCACTATTGGACACAGGTAACTTGCCTTACGGAGTTGTGAAGATTGTTAAGTTACACATTTTTTAAACCCAGGACGAAATGGCCGTCCAGTACTTCTAGGTTTCTAATGGTGGTCTAGCATTGATCGATTCATGGTTTTAAAAATGTATATGTGATATTGTGTTTTTGAAAATGGTACTATTGCACAAAAGTAGAATTGCTTTAGACAATTTACATCTATTGCATAATTCCTAGTTTGTAAAAACTGTTAGAAATTGTATCGTCACAGGATCTCGTGGACATAAATAATATGAGTAGGTTGAAAGAAAGCTAGGGGCGGCCAGACCAAAACATAGCAGAAATCCATAAAATCACTGACTAGTGGACTGAGTCATGTTGGTAGATGCAGGCTACCTGGTTGGGATCCCCATCATCTCTATCTTTGTTTTTCTGAAGTTATATCACTGAATTATACTTCTTGAATAATATCTTCAAACCCTAGTCTTCTTCATTACCATTTATACTTCTACTATCTCTATCACTATGGGATCTGATTTGACATTTGCGTGTCTGTGCTAATGTGGTACGGCAACCTAAACTTATATACATACGTACAAAGTTCTACATTGCAACTAACTGACTGACTGACTTCAATAATACTCCAATAGAAATCAATCTTTGATAGATATAATCTAATCATCTTCTATTCTTTGAAATTGTTAAATTCATAAAAATCAAAAGAATTTTCAAGATGTCAAATAGTCTGAGTAAAGAAATATTATAATTTTAATGTGTGTATAAATTACAAAATCTACTCAAAATTCAATCAATAAATATAATGTCTTACTTTGTTTTTTGTTTCTCTCTATAAGATATCTAGAACCACGTGTTTATCGTGCACGATTCAATCAAGCTGGTAGTATTATTCAAAAAAAATTAATTGAACGTATGAATGAATATTCGAAAATTGAAAAAATTCGTATTTATATTGGTACATGGAATGTGAATGGTCGAAATGATGCAAATGCAACGATACAATTGGATAATTGGCTTAAATCATCGGATGATGATCAACCACCAGCTGATATTTATGTATTTGGGTAACTTTATCATTTGTTTTTGAAGATTTATGATTAATTTGTTGTTGTTTTTGCGGAAGGTTGATTTCATGTGAAAGAGAAAACTACATTTGTAAATTGTAAAAATGAGATAACGCTTGTATCATCTTGTGAGTAGTAGGTGGTTACTCTTGTACTCGGACACACATTGTTGAACCTCTGCATTACGTACATATGGTGTTGCCACTGGATATTACCAACAATCCTTCAGGCCTCTACGGTGATCGAACATAATGTCTTCAGCTCGGAGAGATCAGGTTTCACAAGTATAGAGTGAAACTGAGCTCATTGACTTGTGTTAGATCCAACCTCTAACGGCTAGACTAGGATTTCGACGGCACGAAAGATTGCGTAGATTGACATAATAAGTCTCTATAGTTTTAACTATATGTGAATTGATCTCATCACTCACGCACTAGCAGCAGTTACGTAGACACCCGAATACCCGGACTTCTAGCTGTGGCAACTCGTTAGCATGCTCCGATTATCAGGTTTCCATGTCTTCTCGCAAACTTTGTTCTATTCGGTTACCTGACTGTCTTCTTTTATCGTTAAACCTGCGGTCATACTATAGTAAGACAAACGGCCTCAACGAACTGTAGGGAACCTGTAGAAACCTAATACTTCTCAGCTGGACATTTCACGAAGATACAAGAGACTTGCGATTTTCATGGTGTTGCTCTCAGTGCTCATCGTTACGTTTCGGTGAATCTGTAGCTAGCCTTGAATCCGCATCGTTTTGATATTTAGCTGCAACCAATTCGCTGACATGAATCGGTTTGGGATGATGAATTTGTTGGTCACCAGAACGCCAGATAAGATTAACGCAAATTAGGGCCTGATAATTACTACAGAGTCCTAATTTCTCTTAAAGGAGCGGTAGTCTGGTACACAAACATTCCTGTGATACCGGATCGCAATGTGATCGGTCTATGTCTAGGCTTGAGAAGCAGAGTGAGGACGCCAGATAGAGTACATCAGAGATGACAGTGTTGATAGTTAGTGCTTGCCAGAAATAGTTTGTAGTCTATGCGCAGTTGCACCTGACGATCGCCGTTATCTGATATGTGTCCAGCAAGTCCCCATTGGCTAATCAGACCAGTATCTGCTGTGCCTAGACACCCGACCTGCGTATTCGATTCGTTCTAGTACTAGGATATCTGCCGAACCTTTTTTCTGGAGAAGATCACTCAACTAGTGATGGAATTCATCCTTGATTTCATTCAGGATGCACTCTATCTAGGTTTAGGCAGATATAACGATGAGGCATTGTTCCTCAAACTGATTTCTTTTCGCGTTGGTGGAGCCATCTAATCTGACAGCCCATAATCAACTGGTAATGAGAGTATAGTCTACTAGCGCTTCCTGAGCAACACCAACGCCAGCAAGACCAGACGATGCCACAGGGTCCTCTGGTAAACACCTGCTAATTAAACTTTTCGATGCGGCAGATGGATAATGATTGTGTAGTACGTCTTGAGTCTTGAATACCAATCTAAAATAGGTGGCATATCAATGTTCATACTTTCTAGAAGCACAGTTAACCGTATCTTTTTCTCAATCTACATTAGTGTGTGAACATTGAGGGAGCCGAGTTTGAACGATATGCGTGGTTTCAGAAAAGCTAATTCAGAATTCGAATTTGCTAGCAGCATTTAGCTTTTCGACCAGTCATTGACTTGAGATAATTTAGATGGGACGGAATTTTCGCGGTATGAGTTGATGAGTAAGGAATACACAAAATATGAATAAGGAAATAAACAAGTGCCGCGGTGTAAAATATAAATGAATGTTATCAAATAATTGTAAATAGGGTTTGTGGGAGTGAGGGTTGAAGTCAGCATGGAATTGTCCAGTCACTTTCATCATTTAGTTTGTTGTAGACTACTATACTGTCCGCGTGCCCATACCGAAGCAGGTGGTTTTATTAAGGGGCCACTCCCCGAGCATTTTACCAAGAAGCCTAGTTCACAAAGCAGTGCAGCAACATCAGGAAATTCAGTCCTACGATAGTCAGTGACCGACGATAGGTTCATGGGCCATATGTTTCGTCGGGATCCTGTAACCCATGTACACTATTAATTTGGAATCAGTCTTGCCCGACTCACTGAGGTGGATGTTCCATACCCATCAACCCGGCTTTTAGATCCCCGCCAGATATTCTTTTTTCATCTTTCTAGCTTCCTAAACAACGACCCGGTCATGAAAAAGCACTAAGTAGGACTTCCCTTGTAGAGTGGCTCTGTAGGCGTAGCTATATGAGAGCATTTGGAGTGGGAGAGCGGACTCCACCCTCTCTACCGTACCAATGTATTGTTTGGGCGTCATCGCATGTTGGAAAGTTTTTATAATATAACTGACACATATTTTAAACTGAATATTCACTCAGATAATGATCATCTAAGTTGAGTCCATTTTCAATCACAAATTATATGAACTGTGTTCTATACTACTTATTTCTTGCATAGTTCGTAATCATGTGTACTATATGTATTCACATATATGAAGCAGTATCATAGTAGTTAAGTCATTAGTCTGTTAGATGAGTTCTATTTGCGAAACACGCCTTATGTATTTCAGTCTGGGCAACCAGGCAGTATTTCTCTAATCTTAATATTTAAAATTACTACTCAAAGTCAATCAGTTAATAAAATATAAAAAAACTCCTTTTACTTGTAGATACATCATGTCTTTTTTCTAGTTCAACATGGTTTTCTCATATTGTTTCATTGAAATACCTGTGACTTATTCTAATTTGATCAATTAATACAACTCTTGAATCATCGGTCAGTTTCTTTCTCAAACTTGCTTACATTGTTTGTATGTTTATCTAGGGGTTATTAAATATCTTAGTTAGATAAATAAAAAATACCTATTAGCTTGTTCAATTAAAGTAAATTGAATTGAAAATGTATTTCATCTTTAATGTCTTTTATAATTAACCTTATTCATTCATTCATTCGTTCATTTTATCATAGTTTTCAAGAAATGGATATTAGTTTCAGTGTGATTACTTTAAATAAAACCAGTTCCACTGGTCCAGAAGAACGTTGGATTCAACAATTAGAAGAAGCTTTAGGCGGTCTCCTAAAACGACCTTTATCACATTCTATATGGGCTCAAAGAACTGGTTCTGTTAAATCGTACGCTGCTAAATGGTCTCATTATACAGGTGGTGGTTATTTACGAGTGGAACGTGTTCGTCTAGCTGGAATTATAATGCTTGTGTATGTATCAGCTTCGTTATCCGCACATTTACGTCGTGAAGAAATTTCTTGTCAAGTTGTTCCTACAGGTGTTTTCAATGTGATGGTTAGTGCTTTATGTCTTAAGGATTAAAACTGACTATTGATTTGATTGGCTAATCAAATTTTGTTTTTATTTGTAGTGATCTTTTGAAACTGTAATAGGCATTGTTATTTAACGATATCACAATTTGCGCACTAATGACTTAAATCTGATTATGGCTGTGAAACATAGCGTTAAAAGGAGAAGATGTTCGTAGGTTACTAGTATTCGATCATAGATGTTTAAGAAGCATTGCTCGTATATCGTGGGACAACCGAGTAAGCAATGCTGTCGTTAGGAAACGAGTACTAGGTAAGGATGGCAGATCAGTAGATGAAGTGGTGAAACTTCATCAGTTGAGGTGGTTAGGACATGTGTTACGTATGGCTAACCACAGACTGCGTCGACGAGCTATGTTTTGTGGTGTAGGAGTAGGTTGGAAGAAATCTAGGGGCGGCCAGACCAAAACATGGCAGAAATCCATGAAGTCACTGACAAATGGACTGAGTCATGTTGGTAGATGTAGACCACCTGGTTGGGGTCCACCAGACGAAAGTCACCAGTGGTTAGAGACCTTAAACGACATGGCTAAAAATCGTTTGTAATGGCGCAAGTGCATCCATTCGTTGAGCTCTCTGAAATCCTAATCTTCTGGATTCGTCAGCACTTCTACCTTTGTCTTTCTAACCTTATCTCACTGAATTATACTTCTTGAATAATATCTTCAAACTCTAATCTTCTTCATTACCAATAATACCTCTACTATCTTTATCACTATGGGATTTGATTTGAAATCTGCGTCTTTACTCATGTGTCGATTTCAGGTAGGATACGTGTCAGTGAACACAGCATGAGTTATTATAGTTAAACATGTTAGTCAGTTGATCTGTGATCTATTGATTGTAGCATGCGAATTGCAATAACACCCTATGAATACCACTGTATCTAATTGTAACAAATCTCATTTTGATAAACTTGTGTTTGACAAAATAAAGTCCAACAGTCTAGTTAACTAACATATTTTAACATATTTTAGACAGTTTGAATTAAAAATTTCGAAGTTGCATATTTTGTTTAAGTGGATTCGCTCTTTTTTTTTTAGAACAGCCTAAACATTTAAAATATCTGACAGGTACATGTAATGAATGACTTTATAGCATATTATTTTAATCATTCAAGATTAATACAATCTTCATCATGATGGCTGTCGTTAGGAAACGAGTTCTAGGTAGGGACGGCAAATCAATAGATGAAGCAGTGAAACTTCATCAGTTGAGGTGGTTAGGACATGTGTTACGTATGGCTGACCACCGACTGCCGCGACGAGTTATGTTTTACAGTGTAGGAGTAGATTGGAAGATAGCTAGGGGTGGCCAAACCAAAACATGACAGAAATTCATGAAGTCACTGACAAGTGGAGTGAGTCATGTTGATAGATGTAGACCACCTGGTTGGGGTCCACCAGACGAAAGTCACCAGTGGTTAGAGACCTTGAATGACATGACTCAGAATCGTTTGCAATGGCGAAGGTGCATCCACTCTATGTGTTCTCTCAAATTCTAACTCTCTGTATTCCTCATGATCTCTCTCTTTCTCCTTCTAAATTTATCTTACTGAATTATACTTCTCGAATCATATCTTCTCTCCCTAATCCTCTCCATTACTGCTAATACTTCTATTATTGCTATCACTGTTGGATTTGAATTGACAGTTGCGTATCTGTGCCAATGTGTTATGGCAACCTGAACTTATGTACATACTTACGAAGTTCTATATTGCAACTTACTACTGACTGACCGATTATTTACAAACGATTTGGTTAATTCAAGTCAATAAGTTATCTAGTTCTTATTTAGTTCATAAATCTGGATGTGGTTAGTTAGTTTTTTTGAATTATGCATTTACGAGTGTATGGATGAGGTTTATGATTATTAAAATGCTAATCGATCAACTGTGTACAGTATGAAGTATGGCCGAGTTGTGGAACTGCATTACTGATGCAAACCAGCTGAACAATTCCAAGTCAATGACAAGATTAACCCGAAGAAGAATATACTTCTTGTACAAATTAATAACTAACACAGAGAACTTGATAAAATGTCACAGGTGATTGAAAGAAGTCAATTCTACAAGTTACTCACACCCAATCAATAAAATCTGCCTATTAAACATTAATTTTAGACATCATATCAGTAAGAAAAGTTTAATCTTTATTAAATCTGTAAAACGTTTGTAAAAATACACAAATTTGCACTATGGTGCTTCATTCATGGATATTGCATTCTCACAGTTCAAGTACCTTTCTGTGATTATTGTTAGATGAAGAGATTGTAGATTGGATGTCGCAAAGGCATAAGTTCAAGTCAGTACTTGACTGCGTGTTTAACCCACAGATTAACTGATTAAAGGTTCTCTTGAGAACCGCGATCAGTGGTTGGAGACTTTTTAGTGCCCCGGCCCAAAATAAATCACAGTAGTGTGGATTGTAAACTCCGTCATTCCTTCAGACACTCCTTTCCAGCGCATCTTCTCACAGAACAGTCTTTCTTGTTGTCATAGCTACTAAATAACTTTGATTTCTTTTGTTACTCGTTATTTACATCTTGTTTTGCTGACATTTCATGAAAACTTGAGCTAGTGCACATGTATACCAGAATATACATTGGTCATCACTGAGTGATAACTTCAAATCTATCCTTCTTTATTTATTTATATATTCTTTTTAAATTCAAGGGTAATAAAGGTGGTGTTGGCATTCGATTGACCGTTTTCAATTCATCTCTATGTTTTATTAATTGTCATTTGGCTGCAGGCGAGGCGAATCTTGATCGTCGTAATCAAGATTTCCGTGAAATTACTCGAAAAATGTTATTTGAATTCCCAATGAATCCAAAAAATTTAATGCAACCATCAGAAAAAGCATATATTTCGGATCATGAGTAAGTTTTGACATTTCAGCTGTGTATATATACGTATGTTTATTAGACGACCAATGAAAACCTGGAAGCACTGGACGGCCGTTTCATCCTGGTATGGGACTCATCAGCAGTGCACATCCACGACTCCTGCACCTCGCATGATTTGAACCCGGGACCTCCGGTCTTGTGCACGAACACCCAACCTCTGGAGCACTGATGAGTCCCATAGCAGGACGAAACGGCCACCTGGTGATTCCAGGTTTCTAATGGTGGTCTAACAATGATTGTTTAATGATTTCAGATGTGTACTAATTAATTTGTTTATTACCATGCCCGTTTCACAAGTGCTTACCTAGAATCAGTGGTACATTAGGTAACACTTTGGGCGTTTGAAATGATAGGTATTGGAGTTTGAGTCGAAATGCGAAGTGTAGACAACAGGATTCAGACATATTATTCTGTTCAGCTTCAGATAGGATAAACTGCTCGTCCTACATTATTCGTTGTTAGCTAGTCATGCATAATCTACCTAATCTATATAGCGTGTTTTGTTTATCAGTTCATGTCCTTGGATTTTATTGGTCAAACATATAGTCAGTATAACTACACCATTTACTGACAATGTAAACATTAAGTAAGTGTTTAAGATTCTGTTTAGAACAATAATGTAAGTTGTATTAATCAATATTACTGAATGTCATTATTTTAATGAAGGCTGATGAGTAATATGTATTATCATCCCTGACAGTATCAACTTTACACGAATGCATCAATATGATTAATCTGATAACATTTTTCGCTGTAGTTTTTACAATTAAGAGAAATATCCCGCTGGATTACTGTTTTATAATCATATGGAAATATGTTTTCTGAGATAACGTTTTTGTTGGGGAATTGAGATCCCCAGAACTCACTTGTAAAATTTCCTAATTTTGGATATTTTGTGTTTTCACGCATCAGCTGCTCATTTGACTTTGAGATTACATTTCTCACTCGAAAAATCTTTGACTTTCATTGATTGATGTATTATTTTAGTATGCTATCTTTGTGGCTTTCACAAGGACATTTCTATCATGTATAAATAAGCTCGATTTGTTTGCTTGTCAACCTCGTATTGTCCGGGTGCTTGTAGAATACACTGTCTACACCATATCAAGACTTCTTGATATAATTAGCCGGGTAGAGGACAACGGATTAGAATAGCCTGTCGTGTCACTGGGTCATTTGTCTTTGCTCTCGTTACCCCGAGTACGGTGAACTCGTAATTGTTTCAAGCATATTAATTGACGAGCATATCACTTTTATGGCACTTCGTATATTTGATAATATGTTTCATGAAATTATTTTCCATTTTTCTTGTTTATAAAAGTTCAACATGTTACTTAAGTGCTCCATCCAGCTGGTACAATCAGTCAGGATCGATTTGTGATATACTGTGTAGAAACTGGGACATCTTTTCAATTTACCATATTTTACATCAGGGAACAAAAGATTGAAGGAAAACGGGGAAATGAAAGACGAGTATAATATCTCACTTTAATAAAACTCTAGTCTTCAGGATAAAGTGGTTTATGTAACCTTAACAACTGATCAGTTGAATCCCATACATTGTATAGTAATCATTTGTGCCAATGTCTGTACTTCTATCTTTGTTGCAGCTAGAACGGTAGATTAATGATTAAGACACTCACAGGGTTTGAAGTACAAGCCTTAATTTGTCTAATTCAGTTTGGACAATATTTCTAGCCTCCTCAAAGCCCTCAAATACCCTAGTACGGTCGACCATAAACGAATAGTGAAGATGGGTTCAAGAATCCTGAGGGAACATGATACTTATGGCCCTGTTGTTGGTCATCGGCTACCTTGGGACTACGTCTGGTTACATTGCTCTACTACCACCCAGTGACTAAGATCTGTATGTCAAACGCCGAGGGAAAACCATTTGCTTCAGTTCGGACATGCAGACAGTATCTTATACCGAACCCAAGTTCATTCATTTATTTATGACGCATAAATATTTAGTTGCTTATTTTTACTAATATTTACGTGTTGAAAACAAATCTAGCATAAACATAAAACCACATTTACACATATTTACATAGTAAATAAATGACTTCATATCTCTGTTCTCTCTCAGTATAATAATAAATGAACTGTAAACTATTTTCCTGATTTCTTAATTTTTACTTATTCTAATTGTTAATTATAGTTAGTTACAACTTTGTGTTTTCTCTTACATCCCTTATCTAGTATCATTTTCGTATTTGGTGATTTAAATTATCGTATTAGTGGTTTGGATTCACCTACTGTTCGTAAATCTATTTTTGCAAAAGATTTTTCTTCCATTCTGAAATATGATGAAGTTAGTCATTTTTTATTTTATTTGATAATCGTTTTGTTTTTCATCTCAATAGTTTTATTGAATATTATGAGGTTATTCATTTTATATAGTAGTCAGTTTAGTTATAACGTAGAACTTCGTACATGAGTACATCAGTTCAGGTTGCCATTACCACATTAGCACTGAGATGCAACTGTCAATTCAAATCCCATAGTGGTAGCGATAATAGAAGTATTAACAGTAATGTAGAAGATTAGGGTTCGAAGATATGATTCGAGAAGTATAATTCAGTGAGATAACTTTAGAAAGAGAAAGATAGAGATGATGAGAAATTCAAAAGGTAAGGATTTGAGGGAATACAATGAATTTAATACACATCTCAACATTAAATGTATGGAGAGAAACGATAAAATCTTGAATTCGTGAAGTTGCTAATTTTAGGTTTAGAATTTCAAGAAGAGTTTAGCATTCAATAATTGAACAGAGCTATGAACGCTCATAGTTTGGAGTAACTAGGACATGTGATTGGCTTGATGACAGTTAACTGTCATCAATTGATATGCTAGATGCCACATGAATTTAATTCAGAAAATCCTAGTTTTTTTGATACCAAACGACTGGTTAGTCTACGAAAATTCTTAATCGTGAACAGTGAGGGTATCCTTGTGAATTTAGTATACCAGACGACTGACACATGACACTTCAACAGTTATCCTCAACACAATAATACAACAAAATAATTAAAACATACTTGCTAAAAACAGGTTAATATTCAAGTAGTTAAATTTATGATGAGACAACCTGTACATTCAGTCAGTCAGTCAGTCAGATGCAACGTAGAATTTCGTACGTAAGTACATCAGTTCAGGTTGCCATACCACATTAGCACAAAGACGCAAATGTCTAATCAAATCCCATAGTGATAGAAATAGTAGGAGTACTACTGGTAATAGAGAAGATTAGGGTTCCAAGATATTATTCAAGAAGTATAATTTAGAAAGACAAAACTAGAGGTGTTGATGAATCCATAATATTAGGATTTGAGAGAACAACGAGTGGATGCACCTGTGCTATTACAAACGATTTTTAGCCATGTCATTCAAGGTCTCTAACCATCGGTTACTATCGTTTCGCGGACCCCAACCAGGTAGTCTGCATATACCAACATGACTCAGTCCACTAGTCAGTGATTTTATGGATTTGTGCCATGTTTTGGTTTGGCCGCCCCCAGCCTTCTTCCAACCTACTCCTGAACCACAAAACATAGCTCGTCGAGGCAGTCGTTGGTCGGGCATTCGTAACACATATCCCAACCACCTCAACTGATGAAGTTTCACTACTTCATCTGTTGGTTTGCCATCCTTACCTAGAACTCGTTTCCTAACTACGGCATTGCTCACTCGATTGTCCCACGATACACGAGCAATGCTTCTAAGACATCTATGATCGAAGACTAGTAACCTGTGAGTATCTTCTACTCTTACCGGCCATGTTTCGGATCCATATAGGAGAACAGAGTGAACTACTGCACAGTACACTCGTCCTTTAGTCTACAGACGGATATCTCGCCTACTCCATAAATGACTTAAATAGGCAAAAACCAATCGAACTTTCTGTATCCGTGCTGAGCAACATGTACATGACTTTCTTACGACGGTTGTTACCTCACTTGGAGTGTAGGCGGCGGACGAGTATTCTTCACTCGACTCTGGATATATATCTGACTCTCTATTATTGTCAAAATAACTGTGGTTTGACCAGTAGAGTTCAACCCTGTGGGGTGTAGCGATAAATGAAATGGCGGTCTAACAATCATGGATTCATGATTTCAATCTGTAAAAGTAATGAGCATGTCTGCCTAAAACTACTCGGCAAAAAGCTCTTTGTGATCGTTTTCAGTCGTCCATTTGACACTGAGGATATGCTCCCAGATCATCAAAAAAAACGTAAAACAGTCTCCTTTCCATGTATCTGAAGAAGAAATATCTTTTTCTAGTTCAGGGAATCGTAAAACCATGTTCACCATGTTCATATTTCAAACATCCTGCGAAATAACCTCTTTCATGATCATACTTCATCTTATTTACTAAATATTTCTCCTTTCCTTACAAAACCATCACTTTCGATTTTCCTCCTCTTCTACATGTGCTACCAGTGTTAACATTTGAAGATCGTACGAGATGCTATTCTTAATCTCCTGAAACCGCTTTTCAAATCAATTGTTAAAGGTTTTTATGTCCAAACCTGATATCCAATCGATCAATAAATACCGCTGCTATGTAGGCTCTAGAATCTCGTCCTATCAGTGTTTACTGTGTTTCCGAAATACGCATAGATGATCTTATCACTTGATCTTATCTAGCCAGTATCGAGAACTAACCTCATTTCACTTGGGTGTATCTGAAGTCTTATCGCTTTCATACGATTTATTTCTATTTTGGTTGTGTTATTGTCCTTTGTCTCAGTATATTAGTGATTATTCATCTCATCGTTTATTTGTTAAAGTGGTGGACAAAAGTAACATTACTTTCTAAAATAAGAATCTTGTAATCTAGTTAATTTTAGTTAACAGGTTGTCAGTAAACTTACCAACTATTATCAAAGTTAAGGAATAAGAAGTACATATCGAAGTCACTCATCAAATATATATATATATATATATATATATATATATATTCACGACCCTACTATCAGGAATCAAACCCACGACCTTCTGTCTGACTCCCACTTGTGCGATCGTGAATGCGTACTGCTGATGAAATCATATATCAGCACAAAATGACTATTCATTGTTTCAGCTTTCTAATGATGGTTTAACATTGATCGACTCACGAATCCAATGAAACTCCACAATATCCTCAACCCTATGATGACCGATATTTATCAGATATCCTATATTGAATATCAACATCCGGATAATGCTAACACACTGACAAGTATTATTTGTGAATGTTTACACTCATATATACATCATATTCAATAAACGCAGATTAGAGTATTTTAACCGTATATCAATTTATTTTCTGCATTGTTTTAGTTATTAAAACTTATGGGAAATCGTAATTTATTTGATGGTTTTCATGAACCTGTTATCAATTTCGCACCAACTTACAAATTCGATATGAATTCCAATGTTTATGATTCTAGGTAAGTTGTACACTCAGTTATATTTGTTGTTGTTGCTTTTTTCAAGTGCCAGATTTATTCAAAGAATTATTTTTTCAGCTATTCATTATTCTCTTGTACTCTCTCTCTCTCTCTCTAGCTATAGCTTGATCGTTTATAAATTTCTTTTTTGAAAAGTATTGACATCAAGTGACATGTGAAACAAATTCTCATTATAATGAGATTTTTTGTCTCGTGTGCTGTTGCGGGTATGAGGGCGGTTATCACTTCCCGGCTGCCCACACCGTGGAAGGTTGTTTCTTGACGAACCTGAAAAGGAAGATGGATTAGTGTTGGTGCGTGACCGCAGAGTCCAAGGGACAACTGCTTGAGGCCGGTCACGCACGGCCTTTTTATGAGAGGTATTTAGAGGATTAGCTCCGTTCTTAAAGGCCCTTAGTGGGCACCCTTACCCAAGGAGACGGAAATCCGTGAGGTAGGGGAGGTGTGACATTTTTATGGCCGACCTTTTCTAACCCTTCCTTCCTTGTGAGAAGGCAGCATCGCTGCAGATGCTGGTTGTCCGAGGGAAACACCTTACTGCTGTCTTACGTCTCTGCAGTCAGCAGTACGACTTCGCCCTCAGACCTTGGGTAGCTGCTTTTAGTCTCATCGTTCTCCAATCGACCAGCCTGGCATGGTAGGACCTGCAGGAACATATGTTCCAGCCAGTATAGCTCGGTTGGGTCATCACGATAGGCAAGCCCGACCACCACGTCAAGGTAGCAGCTTCGGTCGGGCGTTTATTTTAAAACTATGAAAGATTTAGATTCTAGGGTTGCATTCTGAGCGACCGTAGTTTATTGGTTGTAGATCATCTGACGTCAATTGCCTATACGATACCCGACCTTAGCTGATACCTTGACGTTTTGGTCGTGCTTGCATATCGTGAGGCCTAAAAATTCACTCTTAACAGATGACAGTTTCAATAAAGAAAGTATTCAAGTAGTTCTTTGCTTGTAAACCATGTGGTTTCAGAAAAAATGAATGATTGTTTGCTGCTGTAATCAGTTGTATTAAGTTTAGTCTGTTATGGACTGCACACTCAGCGAGATATGATCATACTGATTCTTGGGGACGCAGTGTCAAAGTTGTAACTAAGATTAATTCACTTATGTATGTTAAAACATACAACTAGTGATGAATGAGAATGTTCTCAATGCACGCAACTCGACAGTTTGATGTGAGAATACTGGTTGAGTCACCATTGGATTCACTTTTTAAGTTTAAGCAACAATTATTGTCATCAACGGTAACTAAAGACTTTGTGTGTTGCCTTTCTACAATAGAGGCGGACACCTGCTAATTTTGTTAGCAATCACTTCATTGGCGCTAAGAGATTGAGCTGAATCTCTCAGATTTATCTATACTCAAAACGCCAAGTTACGAACGTTTACGCGTAGAATTCTAAATATGTCACAATTTCTATATATTTATGATCAAATATTTTCGTGAATTATGAAATTTACTAACAGAACCAGCTGAAAATGTCAATAGAATTAGAAATGAATTGATGAAAATATTTGCTCCATCATATTACGTAATTATCCGGTGTAGGTGTTCATGTTGTTGTGTTTCCATATTAGGCCTCCTAATTATTTCCATTGTATCATGTGAACCTGAGTGATGAAGTAACAGTGAATTTTGAAAGAGAAACGATACACGTAGAATCTGATAAAAAAATGCTAAGTGAATTACAATCAAAATTACCTTCCTCAAACAAGAGAGGATGAAACTACTTTGAGAATAAATATACCAACGTCCTATGAATTACGATCACATGAAATAGTCATGTGAATATCTCAGTCCTGTATTAGATTAGCCACTGCTTAGCCGATTCGATCGTAATAGTTCAC